ACGTGGCACGGGTACTTCTCCCGTTAGACGGGATAACATCCCGTGTCACGGGAATTTCTCTTCCCCTTTTTTTCGTTCAGGCCCACCGTGTCACGGTGAATAGTACCGTGACACGGTGGGAAGTCCCGCGTCGCGGCAATTTTCCTTCTTTTTTTTTTATTTTTTTTGCCGTGACGCAATGCTGAACTGACGCGCATATTTGATCAACAGAGGGAGGATTTTTTTATTTTAAAGTGGCCGGGCCCCCTTGAGGGGTTGCCTACGTATCCTAAAAAGGAATCAGGCCAAACGTAGCTCTATTGGGTCATGAACCCATGTGACTAGGCATAGAATTTCTTGAGTTGATCCAAGTTGGTTAAATTATGGAAGCTGTTACCGTCCATGTCTACCAATTATGCCGCTCCGGCAGACAGGATGGCTTTAACAATGTACGGGCCTGACCAGTTCGGTCTGAATTTTCCTCTTGGATCTAACACATTTTTACGAAGTTCCTTAAGCACTAGGTCACCCTCTTTGATATTTCTGGTCTTGACTTTTTTATTAAAATGTCGTGCCATACGCTGTTGGTAGGTTTGGACATGATGCAAAGCTGCCAAGCGTTTTTCATCAAGCAAGACCAGTTCGTCGTATCTTGCTCTAATCCAGTCGACTTCATCTAGTTGGCTTTCCAATGCGATTCAAAGAGAAGGGATTTCGAGCTCGATTGGTTGTACAGCTTCAACTCCATAGACCAAAGAGAAAGGGGTAGCCCCTGTTGATGTACGAACAGAGGTTCGATAACCCCAAAGGGCGAAATGTAGCTTACTTGGCCAATCCTTGTAATTTTCTGTCATCTTTTCGATGATAGTTTTCACATTTTTGTTGGCCGATTCGACTGCTTCGTTTGTTTGTGGTCTGTAAGGTGATGATTGTAGATGATTGGTGATGCTTGATATGATAATTCTGTAATAATTCCGCGCATTTAGCTTGGAAATGTGTTCCATTATCACTGATGATCTAGGAACACCTCGAATCCTGGTTCACGGATCCCATCATGGACGAATGGCTCAGGGAATTCATAGCATGGGAAGTCTTCCCCTTCTTTGATGTACTGGCCATTGAGGGTGAACGGATACGGATCCATGGCCATTTTCGTCTTCGTGATTCGAGCGTTATTGCGAGACTTCATCTTCAATGCAGCTCGTTTCAGATCTTCTTTTGTTGGCTTGAATCCCAAGCCGAAAGTATCCTTCTTGAGCGCACCAGGATGGCCTCAAGATTCAGCCATTTTCTTCTTGAGTCCAAGGGTCATTCCAGGGAAATGACCTTGCTTCTTCAGAATGGCATTGATACTGGTGTTTGAATAAGGATCGAAGTCGAGATGGCACTTTTCCTCCTCTTCGATCACGAGAACATCATATAGTGAAAACCCCCAAAGATCTTCATCTTCTAAGTCATGTTCAACATGGACGATAGGAGTATCAATAACTTGAATGCGCATAGGAGAAGCATCGATAGTAATCGGAACCCCTCCAACTATGGCTTTCACTTTCTGGTGAAGCGATGACGGAATTGCCTTTAGCTCATGAAGCCAAGGGCGTCCTAACAACAGATTGAAAGAGGCCTTAATGTCCACCACCTGAAATTTGGTGCGACGTTCAATGGCCCCAGTAGTTATATTCAGTATGATAGTACCCACGGCTTGACGGCGAGTATTATCATAAGCGCGAATCCCTTGAGTGGAGGGAGTCAATTCTTCATTCTTTATGCCCAACTTCTTTGTAGTACGGAGTGGGCACACATTGATTGTAGAGCCATTATCAACTAGGCTCATGGGAACATTCATCTGCCTACACACCACAGTGAGGTGTAAGGCCTTATTATGTTGATCCCTTCCGGTGGCAGATCCTTATCAGAAAACGAAATCAGATTGCTAGTACTTGGCAACTCAGTAGTGAGAAAGTTGACCAGTCCTTAAGGAGTCATGTCATCATCAACTCCTATCTTCACCAGAGCATTCATCACAGCTTTTCGATGCTCGTGGGAAGTGGCCAAAAGCTTCCATACATTCATCTCCACCTTGGTCTTCTGCAGTTGTTTGACCACATCGCTGTTCACAGGATCGATGGGATCAACTATCGAATGTGATTGTGGTGGAGGTGGAGGTGGATTAGGTTGTTGCAACCGTCCACTTCTAGTGAGAACCTTGACCTCAAAGTCCCCCCAAACGTCTTCACTGGTTCCAAGAGATGAACAGGCTATATCCTTGAGATATACGTTTTCATAATCACTATCCCAAATTTCATTTACTTCTTCAGTACTTGAGATAAATACAACTTCCGGTAGAGGTTCATTCACAGGTTGAATGAGTATCGACGGATCAAAGGAGACTTCATCCCCCATGATAGCCAAAGCATCAGAAAGAGGACTTGTTTGAATGTTAGGCTTCTTGCCCCCTGGAGGAACAGGAAGTTGATTAGCATCGATCAGATCTTGGATTGCATCCTTCAGCCTCCAACACTTCTCAGTATTATGACCCTTGCCTTGATGAAACTTGCAATAAGAATTGGGGTCATAGCTAACGGTCCTATTCTCTGGCCGAGGTTCTGGAAATGGTCTGATTGGCATAATCAGTCCTTGACCATGGTCATAAGCAGCATCATAAGTCATTCCCAAAGGCATGTAAACCCTCCTTTGCCTTTGGAATCTTTGAGGAGGAGCATTAAGGGCCAGCACATCATTGATATTGATATTGTTGGTAGCATTATTGGGCTTAGAAGGCGAAGAAGAAGGAGTGTCGTTCTTCTTGTTTTTCTTAGTGCTATTGTTATTGTTGCTACCAACAGACTTCATCGGTTCATCTTCGATATTGATTCCAATATCGTATACAGCGTCAAAGGTACTCAGAGGCAGAAACTTCAAGTGTTGCTTGTACTTATGAGTCAGATTAGCAATGAACAAGCGAATCATTTCTTTCTCCTTGGGGGGATCCACCAGGAGCGCAGCTGTTTCCCTCCACCTGCTTAAGTAAGTGGTGAAGCCTTCATTCTCTTTCTGTTTGAGAATGGAGAGTTCACGTTCAGAAGTCTTGGCCTGGATGTTACACTTGTAACGATTCATGAAGCTTTCAGCAACATCCTCCCAGGTCGCGACATGTTTGGATTCCAATGAATAGAACCACTGTTGACAGGCATGCTCTAAGGAAAGAGGGAACACCGTAGGGAAGAGTGTCACATCTACTCCCTTAAGAGCCATAGTTGCAGAAAAAGCTTTCAAATGGAAAAGCGGATTATCAGTAGGCTTGAATTTGGGAATGTCAGCAGTGGAAAACTTCTCAGGAAGCTTCTCTCTTATGGACGAAGAGGTGACAGGTTGTTCCACATAAGTGAACTCTTCAGAGATCTTGCTCATATGTTCCTTAATATTGTCCATTGCAGCAGTAGTGACATTGTTTTGATTGTCCTGTTCTACAGTACTGACTCTAGTGGTGAGTGTCTGCATCATGTCAGACAATCTTTCAATTGTCCTATTGAGGTTCTCGATGTCTTCCTTAGTGGCCATTGGTTGAAAGTAGACTGGAGATGGATTTTGTGGAGATGATTGAGGTGGTTTCCTTGTACGCCTCTTTGGTATAAGAGGTTGTTGAGGTATGGACTCGAACCGTAACAATCTACCCCTGCTTCTTGACCAAGTGCTGTGACACCGAAACAAACACACCTTTAATGACCAAACTTAACCTTAACCCATCCGGATAAAAAAAAAGAATTTTTTTTTTATAAAAAAAAAAATCTATGGTTTTGAAATTCTATTTTTTTTTTTTTTTAAAAAAAATCATATGGGAGGATACCATCCGACTTACTTCGAAAAAAAAAACGACACAAAAACGAGACTTCCCTAAAATACGGTCAAAAAGTAGTGCACGACTTGAAGAAAAAAGTGTGTGAACGCGATATGTGAGTGACTAAGTGAGATTATAGACGCGTGTTTTGACCGTATAGCTAGACACGACACAAAACTGGACACAGCATTCGCACAAAAATCGAAAAAAAGACTGACAGAACACTTTCCTGGTCACCGTGTCACGGTGCAGACTGTCGTGACACGGTGCAGTCTACCGTCAGACGGTAGATAGTCCCGTGTCACGGCACTGTTCACCGTGGCGCGGCAGAACATGCCGTGACACAGTGCACAATTCCAGGTCAGTTTTGTGATTTTTCCAGATTTTAACCGATTTTAGGTTCGTACTAATTACTATGTGAGAATAAAAACCCTCGGTCATGGGTTAAACAAAAGAGCAAACACATGAAGGTTAGCACCAAGCAGCCACATAGCATTTAGGCACGATGATGTAAAAAAAAGTTTGCAACCTAGAGTCAAGATCTATGTTCAACTATTGGTCAAGCTTTGGGTGTCAGAAGGGTACCATGGTTAAGAGTTTGGACGCGTTAGCAAGGCAGCCTCCCTTGAGGGTGTATGCCAACGGGCGGCTCCACGAGTTTGGACGCGTTAGCAAGGCAGCCTCCCTTGAGGGTGTATGAAATCGAACTCGACTCCATGATTTGGGTGGATTTAATAACTCGGATGAACCCTTATTGCCATGAGCGTTTTTGGGTCGATAGAGCTTAAATCCCCCGGGGCTAAGACGCATGTAGAACACATACGTTTATTCAGAAAAATCAAAGGAAGTCGACTGTGAGGAAAGAAAATAAGCCACCGGATAGATTTTAGGACTGCCGTGACACGGCAAAAATTCCCGTGTCACGGTACTGTGCACCGTCAGACGGTGCACTGTACCGTGACACGACAGACTCTGCCGTGGAACGGCATTCAGAAGATCTGACTGGTGCCCTGTTTTCCTTCGCGCGCAACCAAGTTATCCAATTTTTCCTACGGGACAGACCTGAATGCGACGTTAAAACGTCTATGCAGATGCAAAAATGCCAAATTAATCACAGGAATATTTTTTCAAGAATCTTTCAAGTCTCATCCACTCATCTTAATTAAATACCATGGTTGGGTACCTGTTGTTGGCCATTCGGTTCTGCCTCTGTCTCTGAGTCCTCTGACTCTGCTGATTCTGTTTGTTGCTGATTTGATGACTCGGTTGAGTCTGACAGTGAAGTAGTGTTGTTTGCTTCTTCTTGCATGTTTGTTTGATGCAGCTCATCTGTTTTCTGTTCCATAAGCAGTTGATTGATGTTAAAAAATCCATCAAACTCCTCTTCCATGAGTCCCTTTTTTTTCAGATGAAGAGGTAGGTGATGAAGTGGAGGTGTCTTGCTTTTTTTTTGGGAGCTTTTAATGGAGCCTGATTCTGTACAAAGCTAATGCTGCAACTAACACAACAATTAGGAATTAGGACTAATTTCATTTTAGGTTGGTTTTTGTGTAATTTGCAAACAATGGCACCTTTGATTATGGTCTGTAATTTAACAATGGATGTTGATTTCCCTCCCCCCCCCCCCTTAGAATATTGGACAATGGTGATGTATGAAATAGGTTTGGTCTTTTTATAAGGCCTTTTGGTTTGAAAAATGGGTGAAGGGGGAAAATTTAAATGTTGTTTGAATTGATTTCAAATTTTGGTAAAATGTTTGGAGGGAAAAAAGAAAGAGGCAAAAAATTTGCCCCCCAAAAACTGTCGGCAAAGAAAAAAAAGGAGGGAAGAGAGAGAAAAAGAAAAAAAAGTCACATGGGTCACCAACTTGTTTGGGACCACCTCTTTTCCCTCCCATTTTATTTCCCCTAATTACATACCCCTCCACTCTAATCTCTCCCCTTAAAAGTTTTGCCTAGGAGTCCGCAATTGACCCCTTTGTTGCGAGTAAATCGTAACGGAGGGAGTATGACAGTATGAAATTTATATCATGAATTCATGATTAACCACCTAATAGCATCTCACGTCCAGGCCAGTAACTTTTTGCTACTTCAATTTTTTTTTTTTTTTTTTTTTTTTTTTGAAGATAAACTTGAAAGCTCAAGTAGTCAGTAGTAGCCACGAAATGCTGAACAACTTTTGAAGATAAGTATTTATCTTGTTGAGATATTTTTGTTGGAGATAAGTACGATCAACGTCTTGCTGATCTTCCTGGCCTTTTTGCCACATTGATCCTCTTAGATATTGCTCTGCTTCACGGTCTATAAATACTACCAAGATGATGCATAAATTTCACATGCCCAACGTGGAGGAGACGCACAGAGAAAGCCGCTTTGGAGCCATATAGAGCAGGTTGCCCTTCCATGAAGGGAGCCGCAATTGAGGACACTTGACGTACGCCGCAAATGGAGCGCTGCTACTCGAAGGTCACGAATAGACACCCGCCATGTAGCCATAGAGGAGCACCACAATCTTGACATCAGCATGGAGAAGTTGTCACGCCACACTATTTACTTTGACACCACGCCACGACTCAAATTGATGCCACAACAAATACTTTGCTGCCACATCACAACACCTACGACTTTTGGTTCTATGGAGGAGCCGCTATAGCCACGCCATAGAACTCGTTGTCTTCGTCGATGCCTTGCGATGATTTTTTTTTTTTTTTTTTTTTTTTTTGCAGATCTTCTTTGGAGGCGTTGGAGCTATCATCGCATCCCATACAGAGTCATGTATCGAGCCTTAGCAACTCGAACCTTAGCACCTTGAAGTTGGCATCACATTACGAGCTTTGACATCGCAGAGCTATATTCTCGAGCCTCACAGCCGAACCTTGTTTTGAAGTCTTGGAGTTGGATACTTGAGCATCGCAACACGACCTTGACATATTGAAGTCATGGCGAGCCCACATCAACACTCACACTTATTCCTTGATGAGCTTGTTTACTCAAGCTTTGCTACCTACGATGCACTAGAGACTCCACGGTGCCGAACTTGGAGGAGAAGAATATACAGTGAAAGCTACCCATGCTTTGGAACCATGGAGTGCAATTCGGACCTTAAATTCCAGAGTTACTTGGAGTTACATGTTCAAGTCTTGCAATCCGACCTCGACATTCTAGTCTTGCAAAGCCATGCACACACATAACGACTCCAAGTTGAAGCTTCGGTCCATCCCTTTTTTTTCGACAAAATAGAGAACATTTTCACAATTACACCGTACAGATTGCATCTATTTGTTTTGTCGACCATATGTCCAAATTTCAAGCGAATCGGACCACATTTGCCCATCCGATCAAGTGATTGATCATAGCTGCACCAAAAACTTCGTAGCTTCTGTCGTTTCTTTTTTTCTTTTTCTTCTTTTATTATTACTAGTTTTGTGCCCCGTGCGATGTTTGTTAAATAAAGATAAATTTTTAATATATATGTCAAATTTTTAAATATATCATTGATACAAAATTAGTTAGGAATTGATGTGCTTTTATGACGATTTGTTATATCGATTTTTTTTTAACAAAATTATAATTCAATTTGTATAGGGTATTTTATTGAAAATAAAACTCTAAACTAACAATTTTATCCTACAATTATATCCAAATAGAATTTTAAATTAACTTTTTAATCGTCTATTTAAATCCATCCAATGTGGCGCGTCACTTGGCGAAAAGGTGAAACGCCAAGTGTCGATGCCTCGTGACCTGGCTAAAAGTTTAGCTTTATATATTAGTTATATGATTTTTTATTATTATTTTTTTTATTTTTTTTTTGAAAATGATTATCATGCTTATATCACAATAATAATCATCATACCAACGTGACCTTTGTTTCTTTGTTTCTTTTTTTTTTTTGTTTTTTTGTTTTGTTTTTTTTTAATATTTATAATAAAACCATATATATACTAGGTGCAACAATCATGTTCTTGGACAACTTGATCGTCTTTTGACTCGGAGGGAACCATGTCAATCACGATGCAATTGTGTACTCTAAATGTGTTTGTATCCTGACTAGGCATTGTGTTGGGAGGCAATATCGCAGCAAAACTGACAATTAGAACCTCTTGTGGTTAATGAGTGCCCTTATTGACAACGATGACAATAAACTTGCTGGAAATCTTCTTCATGCCCGTGTCAAATTGAGTTTGTTTATTTGACTTGGTGGTACATTTCTCAAGAATGGTTGACCATTGATACTTAACTTGGAGGCTATCTCAAGGTTCCTTCCTCCAATTCTCTTATTCTTCAAGATTTGTCAATGAAGTCTTGGTGCTTAGCAGCTTTCTCCAGATATTCAAGTAAACTTGGTGAAGTATTGGCGCTTGGTAGCTTTTTCCAATCTTCGTGTTGAACGCTTTGAGCTGACCTCCGGTGCTTGAAAGCTTTCTTCGGATCTCAAGAACTTTGGTGGATCGGTGCTTTGTAGCTTTCTCCGATGTCCACGTTCAACTTGATTTGTGAATCTCCGGTGCTTGTTGCTTTCTCCGGATTTTCAAGTAAATTTGGCGAAGTATTCGTGCTTGAAAGCTTTCTCCAATCTTCAAATGACATCATTTTACTTCCTGGGAACAAATTGAAACTTGTCCCCAATCTTGTAGTTTATCATTTTTTTTTTAAATGGCTGCCCTTGAATATATTTTATATATCCAAGATGCCTACGTACCAATAAGTAATTGAAATTTACTTTTTGGATTAAGCCGGACGTAGTTCAATTTATGTGATTTTGTTTGTTTATTTATTTATGTTTTTTTGTTATGCAGTTTAGGCTCTTTCTTAGGAGCTTTGAGGACCGCTTTTTCATCTTTGCCCCCTTTGGATGATAATGATCGTTTAATCAGATCCGTCTTCACGATTGGCTATCGTAAACTCCATCTCATGAGCTCGAGTCGCCAAGTCTTGGAATGTTTTGGGTTTGATTCCTTGCAAAATGTAAGCAAGATCCCAATTCATTCCTTGGAGAAGTTTCGGATAAATGATCTTTGCATTGAAGGCTTAATCCTCGCCATCGATTGATGTAGTCCACGATTGGTTCATCTTCCAACTGGTTGGTTTGTGTCAACTCAGTCATGCTGACAACGCGTCGAGTGGTAAAGAAGCAATCGAGGAACATTTCTTCCATTTTTACCCAACTGTCTATGGATTTTCGAGGTATATCTGTGTACCAATCGAAAGCAACAATCTTGAGAGAGCGGACAAATTTCTTTACAAGCAAATCTCCAGAGGTCCCAACATTATTGCAGGTCTATATGAAGTGTGCGATATGTTGCTTAGGGTTGCCTGTCCCATCGAATTGCTGGAATTTTGGAGGTTGATAGTCGCTTGGCATTCTCATCTTGTCAATCCTTTTTGTGTAAGGTTTGCTGTAGCGACCATCTTTATTGGCGTCTCTACCGAGTTGTTGTTTAATAGCATTAGCTAATATTTCTTGGATTGCTTGGAAGCTGAATGAATCACCATGGGGACTTTCATTTTTCGAACTTAGCTTTGTCTTCGTGCTAAGTTCTGACCCACTGCTATAACCTTCACTTTCTTCAATTGGGCGCTTCTCGAGTCTTTTTTCGAGTGCAACAATTTGTTCGCTTTGGAGCTTAATTTGTGCCCCCTTTTCTTTGTTGTCCTTGACGACCTTCTCAAGAAGTAGCTTAACATTTGCTAACTCCTCCTTTATAGTGTTTGCTTCGATTGTCATGACATTGACGACGTCGTCATGTGCACCATCTTTTGTCATCGTCATTTCTTGTACGTGCTTCATCATTTCGATTCGTGGAGAAAGAGATGAGAGGTAGAAATTGTCCCAACGAGTGTGCTAAATTTGTAAACACAAATTTTAAATCAGCAAAATATAGATTCAAAATAAATGCAACAAAGTGTTAATTTTATTAATATGATATAATTGGGTACAATCTCTAATTTGCTCCTCTGATTCGATCTCCACTTTGACTTTGATGTAATTCACAAATTGACTTGATTCTCGAACGAGGGTCGTCGAGGCTTGATCTCGATCGAAGATTAGATGCAGAACTTTGACTTATCTTTGATGTAGACCTTTGACTTGTTGTTGATGTAAACCTTTGACTTGAATTCTTAACTGAGGGCCAACGAGGCTTGATCTCGATCAATGACTATTTGATGTAGAGGTTGAACTGGTGTTCTTGATGATTTGAAGTCCTTATTTCCTTTGTGTTGAGGGCCGTTGAGGCTTGATCTCTTCCATGAGTGATATTCTAGAGTAGAACGACACGTCGAATGATTGTTGTTCTTTTTCTAGGTTTTGAGAGGTTTTCTCTGGAGAGGTTTAGAGTATTTGATGATAGGTTTTCTCTGATTTTTTCTCTCTTTTAGGTTTTAACTC